GTTAAAAGACATCCTTGTGAGTGGGGTCTTCCAGGGAACCAACAGGTCAATTAATGACAGTTTTCTAGAAATAGGGCTCTGAAGGCATGCCTATCTACCCTTCCAATGGCTGCCAAACTCTTGTTTTCACTGTGATTGTAGGCAATTGCTTTTCCAGACCTCTGTGGAGCTAGGAGATGGGGATGGGAACAGGGCAAGTTCAGATTACCTAGAGTTCACTGTTTTTACTGAGATTCAGCCATTTTTCTTGAATAAATGCACTCTGGATTGCTACAGAACTTTGGCTAATTCTGAGAGCTCAAAAATAGTTGATTCTGATATTTTCTTTTTTGCCATTGTTCACATTGCTTTATGAAAGAGAGTCTTTTCACATGCCTTAATCTACCATTTTCACTGATGTCACTTGAACTGATTTTGCATATTTTAATCCATAACTATTTTTATCATTTTTCTTGTTTCTGAGTTGCTCATATTCTTTGTTTCTTTAAGTACTTGTCATTGTGCTGGTACTTACCATGCATCATGTTTTATTTTACTTCTATTACTGCCACCTCACTGACACTAATACTAATACTGCTGCTAGTAAGATCGTGTATTCTGTTACACTGTATGTTTCCTAATGTGCATCATAGTTATATCAGGGAATGATGCCACTCTGTTATAAGTTTTATGTAATCTTTGTCTCCATAAGGAGAGCCAGACTAATGGGAATGGAAGTATAACCTTCAGCAGGAAAGGAAAAGTCCCCAGTTTGGCTCTGGTTGCTGCAAGAGCCATTTAGTGTTATTTAAGAAAATTAAAAAGCACACCTGCGATAGAGCTCTCTCCGTGGGAAGGTACAGCCCAGCCTGTGGCAGTTCACAGTGCCCTTTTTAAGGGCAGTCCAGTGTCTCAGAGCTCCGCTTCCATCTGCATTGTCTGAGCACATGTATCCCCTGATCTACTGATTTTATTCATTCGTAACATTCTCTACACTAGCCTCCTGCTACACTGAGTTACCTGCTTGAATAATCCAAGTTATGTCCCCCAGTGCCAATTGCGGTTTGTGTTGTTATTGTTAAATACTCCGTATAATAAGATTCATGGGTTTTTGTTGTTTGTGATTTTGGTTTGTTTTTAAATGATAACTTCTCATTCTTATGTTCTGTAATTGTGTTTCTAGGTACAAGTTTCCCGAACAAATTTCTGTTTTCCTAAGGCCTAGAAAAGGAACTCCCTAAGAATGAATTTAGTATGACACAGTGGAAAGAGGAAACATCTTTGTAGTCAGATGAGTGTATTTGGTCTTTGGCTCTGCAGTTTAACAGCTATGTGATACTGCCTTAGTTGAGTTTCAAGTTTCCCATTTGAAAGATGGGGATAATAGAGTAATTATGAGGATTCAGTAAAATACTGTATATAAAGGTTACACAGTGACTGCCATAAGTTAGACACTCAACAAATGATTTCCTCCTTTTTCTTTCAGTTTCAAGTGTTTGCAGACTTTAGGAATGATGACAACTCTGAGCTGTCTGCCTGGTCATGAGTTTTTCTCTGCCCAAGCCTGCTCTGATCTACTCATTCCTCATAGTCTTTTAGGTGTGTGTGTTGGGGGGGAGGTATTGAGATATATTAACCTACCATAAAATTCACCTGTTTTAAAAGTGTTCACTTGACTGTTTTTTAGTATATTCACAGAGGTATGCAGCCATCATCACAATCTAATTTTTAGAACATTTTCAACACCCCAAAAAAAAACTTCATTCCCATTCCCAGGTGCACATGTTTTGAGTGGACTTTCCCAATATTCTTATTCACTTGAACCCTATTATTCTTAGTGTGCAGTTTTTGTAAATGCTTGTATTGTGGTAGCAGAAATGCTGGTATTATCATTTGGGGTTTTGCCCTCATCACCAAAAGTGTTCTTTCTAAGGTCACTATGACTTTTTCATTACTTACTCAAACTAATGCTTTTTGGTCTTTATCTTATTTGCCCCATTATGTGGCATTTGCATTATTGATCACTTTTTATTTGGTGACACTTTTATCTCCCATGGTTACTTTGAAGTCTTTTTCTCATCTCTTCTTATCTAGTTTTGATTTCAATCTATTCATCTGATCCATCTTATTTATGGGTATTCCAAATGTTCTCTCTGTAACCTTCCTCCATTACTAGCTGAGATCTTTCTTTTATATTTTCACATGATATATAAATATAAATATAAATATAAATATAAATATAAATATATATATATATATATATATATATTTTTTTTTTTATCCTGACCCAAGGACATTTTTCCATATTTTGTTCAGATTGGAAGGGAGAGAGAGAGAGAGAGAAACATCGACCTGAAAGGGACACATTGAGTGGTTGCCACTCGCACGACCCAACCAGGGTCAGGGACAAACTACAAACAAGGTACGTGCCCTTAGCAGGAACTGAACCCAGGTCTCTCTGGACCACAGGCTGACGCTCTAACCACTGAGCAAAACCAGCCAGGGCTCACATGATATTTTAAAGTATCTTTCTTTAGTTCTTATTAGCAATTTGCTGTCCCATTGGGAATTTAAGTATATTTCTCTAACAACTTTAGGTTTTCTTCTTAAAATTTATTTTTGCGTGTTTAACAACTATAAGATAGGCTTTGTAGTTAGTTAGTTTGTAGGTTTTTTATTGTTGTTGTTGTTAGCTAAGCTAATCCCCAATATTCACATTCTGTTTGTATTTTCTGTTCCTAGGCCATGTTTTCCAGTGAAGAGTAGCTATTGCCCATTTGTGTAGACATTTGTGTATGATACATATTTTGGGAATTAAATCTTTACCTATTTAGTCACAAATATTTTTTTTTAGTTATAATTTCTAATATGGCAACTACTAGTTAGATACACATTTTAAAAAGCTCTTTAGAGCCCTTAATATTTAAAAATGTAAATAAGACCTGTAGCCAAAAAGTTTGAGAACCAAAGCTCTAGTCTTTGCATAAACTATTCAAATTGTACAAATTGATCTAAAGCAATTACTCATTCAAAATGCAGGAACTCCTTAGTTAGGAAGGCCTGTACTTCAGAGTTTTTACTTATATTTCCCCTACCCCTGGATGGCTAAACCTCTTTGAGCACCCATGTTGATATCTTATCTAGCTTTTAAACCTGTCAATATGTGTCTTTCATTAAGTCCTTTCTTGATTTTTTATAACCTTACATGCTATCTGCTAGTTTAATCTATATAACATTTTTCAGCTCTTATTGTTTTGTATTTTAATTATTTGTATACTTGCTGCTAGGCTGTGAATGTTTGTGTACCCTCTGCTCTGAATTCACATATCAGTCACAAATATTTTTTATGATCCAGTTTTTATCTCAAATTTTTAATTGAAGAAAATATTTTAAAAATGCATCTCCAATTAAATCTACTTACAAAAATAATTTTTTAGTGATATAATTTTCAGAAGTATGTGTCAGGTCCTTCTAGAGCTGCACAGCAGTGCAGTAGGCAAGGTCAGGTGTCTCCTTAACAAGGGGAAGAGGAAAGTAGTGAGAGAAAGTTGGGTAAGGAAAGCTCATAAAGATCCTTTTCAAGAGCTTGAAATCCAGTACTTAAATCTTTAGTTCATGAGGGAAAATTTATTGCTATTATCCTTCAGGGATAGCTTTCAATTTTAATTGAATTTAATCCTAGACTCAATTTTTATCAAAATTTTACGTTTTTAAAAATATTGTCGTTGACTGAAGATCTGTGACCCTGAACATAAAACTGTTGCCTTTGCATACCTTCCTACTCCAACATGAAAGGATGTGACGCCTGAGCTGTGCTGGCTCTAGGGGTGTGTCCAGCTCCCCTTCACCAATCCCCATTCCTTCGCCCACTCTTCAAACTGGGCATTAGTCATGTCGTCCAGTCAAGGGTCAGGTGGAAAAGACGTTTCTAATATCTGTGTAAAACTTTTTTTTAATGTTTAAACAAGCACTTATCTGCCCTTTTGTTTGCTTAAATACATAAAAACAAGAAAGTTAATAGTTTCTTATTTCTTGGTGCTTATGTACGTTCCCCAGGTACTGGAATATATATGTATATGTATACACACACACACATATATATACACAGATATATGTATGTATATATTTGTTGTTGTTGTTCAACCTTACCCAAGGATATTTTTTCCATTTATTTTTTTTAGAGAGAGTGGAAGGGAAGGGGAAGGGGAGAGAGAGAAACATCAATGTGAGAGACACTCATCGATTAGTTGCCTCCCACACGAGTCCCAACTGGGGCTGGAATCAAACCTGCAACCCATGTACATGCCCTTGACTGGAAATTGAACCCAGACCTTCCAGTGCATGGGCCAACACTCTAATTGCTGAGCCACAGTGGCCAGGGCTGGAATATATTTTTAACTACATAGCATATCTATAATTCTACTGTTGGAATTCTAATTTTACAAACTAGGAGATATGCTCCTTCCATGTCTATTATAAAGTTACTTGGGCCTTTTACTGTGCTTTCCTACAAGTGGTAAAGCTTCAAATGTATTGCTCTCTATTAATGAGTAAATGTGTGACATTGATGTGAGAGTGTAGAGGCATATTGGCAACTTAAAGTCTAAGTACTTAAGGGCTTGTTGAGAAAGAAGACTGCTAATTTCCATTCCTCTGGTTAAGCCATTTCACCTGTAAAAAAGGGCTGTACTCAGAATTTCAGAATAATTTCTGCAGTATAGAAACAACTATACTGTATACTATACTGGTGTATATGTTTCTGGTACTAGTATGTACCCAAATACAATTTTTTATTGAAGTACTCTTTGAGATATATACCAAACCATTGTTTATGCCGATGCCTTGTTTTACATTTGCTGTGTGGAGTGGTAAGAACTTGGTTCGAGTGGAGTTATGTACTGTTGTGGGTACCTCCAGGTGCTTTGTGCATAGAAGCCACTGCCATTCTTTTGCTGTGGTACGAGCCATTAATCACTTTCCATTTCAAATAATCTGGAAACTGCCTGATGCTCTCTTTCTAGATGCCCTGGAGCTTCTCATCGGAGAGTTGCCCTGGAGAGAAGGAAAACCAGTAAAACTCAGCCAGAGATTGAAAATGAAAATGGAACCACAATAATAGATCTCCCAGGCACCCTGTCACCTGAAACAGACTGCTCAGGCACAGGGATAGTGCCCACCGAGCGGAACTTGACCTCAGCCTCTCTTACGGCATGGACTGAGGAGCCTGGCCTGGACAACCCTGCCTTCGAGGAGAGCACCATTGCTGACGGTAAGTGCTAGTCAGCTGCTTTTTTTTTTAACGTTTTCAAATCAGACAGTTGCTTTTTTTCTGCTACTCCCTCCGTTTTTCCCAACATGCATTTTTTCCTCTTTAAAAAAGTAATTTTATTGAGCTATAATTCACATACCACAAAATAAAAGTCACCCAGTTGGCATTTTAGAAACAGAGCATGACCCTCACTTACCCCGAGGAAGGTACTCCTTCCACCCCTTCTGCTGTGGTTCCTGAATTCAGTAGTCATTAACACACTGCTGCTTGTTTGCTCCTGTGTTAAGGACTTTGTTGCATCTTGAATCAAGAATGACAAAAATAATACCTCAGGTTAAGTTCCAAGCACTTTACGTAAATGAACTGATTTAAATGTTATAACAATATTAGGAGATTTTTTTATTTTAATGGTGAAAAAACTGAGTCTTGAGAGATTAATTGGTCAAGCTCATACTGCCAAGAAATGGCTGGATATCTGTCTGTTTACAAGGCCTCACTTGTGCCTGTTGCACTCTGGTGTCAGCACTAGTCTGACTGTACAGCCCCCCCAAGAGCAAACAGAAAGCCTGTAGTGCTAGATCTTGGCATATCTTGATAGTTGGCCCTGGCTATTTACTTTTAAATATTTTCTCTTACAAATTCCAGATTTGACTAAACAGTTCCAATTTTCCCTTCCACAACTATAACTTTTTCATCTCCTAAGGCTCAAGGCCCACCTCTTCTTAGAGCTGATGTGATTCCTCTCTCAACCTCGGAACTAGTCTTTTCGTTAAACTGCTTTGCATGTTCATAGTTGTTTAATGGTTCAGACCTTCTGTTATCAGTTAGAACAAGATGACATTCTTTTTTTTAATCCTCACCTCCTCATTGATTTTTAGATAGGGCGGAGAGAGGGAGGGAGGGAGGGAGGGAGGGAGGGAAGGAGAGAGAGAAACATCAATGAGAGAGGAACACATTGTTTGGCTGCCTCCTGCACTATCAGGGATTGAACCTGCAACCCAGATATGTGCCCTTAACTGGGAATTGAACCTGAGAACCTTTGGTCCTCAGGCAGACAGACGCTCTTACCACTGCACCAAACCATTGGCCAGGGCAAGATGATATTCTTTTAATATTTATCAGATCATTGTGTCTTCCCTAGTGATCTGATACATAGTAACTATTTGTTGGTTATATACTGATCACCTTCAGCAGAGGAAACATTTAGATAATCTTAACATATAGATATTTTTTGTCATTCTCTTTTTCTTATCCAGTAGTATTGTTAGTTATTAATCATCTGTTAACATAAGGTGACTTATTTACCTAAAGAACATCAGGATCTACAACATTTATTTTCATTCCATCTGTTTTTCTCTCTCATTTTTAACTCGGCAGCCACACAACAGCCACCTAGTTTACCAGAAGGTGAAATTACTACGATTGAAATTCACCGATCTAATCCTTATATTCAGCTAGGAATTAGCATTGTGGGTGGCAATGAAACACCACTGATCAACATTGTTATCCAGGAAGTCTATCGTGATGGGATAATCGCCAGAGATGGAAGACTCCTTGCTGGAGACCAGATTCTTCAGGTATCAATTTTAATTCTGTTAATTTGCACCCTTTTATTTCTTTTTTTTTTTAAATATTTTTTCTTTATTAATTTTAGAGAGAGAAGAAAGGAGAGGGAGATAAATATCAATGAGAGAGAACATTGATTGGCTGCCTCCTGCATGCCCCCCACTGGGGATCCAGCCCACAACCTGGGCATGTGCTCTGACCCGGAATCGAACTGGTGACCTCTTGATACATGGGTTGAAGCTCAACCAGTGATGAGCCACACTGTTTGGGTCACCCTTTTATTCTTATTTATCAATTTAAAACTTGAAAATTGTGCTACCGTAGAACCTGAATTATATAAAGGCAAGTTTTGCTGTTTTTATATGGAAAACATTAGAATTTTGTAATCTCTCCTGTTTCCTCATATACATGGAGTGTATTTTCTTCCTCCTATCTTAATTTCAATCCTGCATGTGTAACCCATTTTATACATAAGAAAACACATTCAAACAAGTTTTACACTTGCCTGAGGCCACCTAGCTAGTACATGGTGGAATCAAGGATGCTAATTCAAGACTCTCATTAACCCTGTAATGCTAGAGCTATTCTCTACTTAATGCTAATAATTGTAAGTTAATTTTAGGAACTCTACTTTAAAATGTCTTTAGAGTGGATTTCTTTGTAAATAACGTTTTCACAATGTTAGTTTCCTTTAGGAAATGTTATTTCCACAAATTGGGGAAAAATAATAGTCATACTTTGGTCATAATTTTTTTTTTTTAGGTCAATAACTGTGATATTAGCAACGTGTCCCACAACTATGCCAGAGCTGTCCTTTCACAGCCCTGCAGCTCCCTGCAGCTCACTGTGCTGCGAGAGAGACGCTTTGGTAACCGAGCGTACAGCCATTCTGATGGGAGCTCTCCACGGGAAGAGATGTTCCATGTGGTTCTTCATAAACGAGACTCTGGTGAACAGCTTGGCATCAAACTCGTACGAAGGACAGATGAGCCAGGAGTTTTTATTCTTGACCTGTTGGAAGGGGGGCTTGCTGCACAGGATGGGAGGCTGAGCAGCAATGACCGTGTGCTTGCCATCAATGGGCATGACCTGAAGCATGGGACTCCGGAGCTTGCTGCCCAGATCATTCAGGTACACTCAGGACATGTGTTCCAGATGCTTGACCTTCATTACCATATATCAGTGTTTGTTTTCACTGGCCAGTAACATAAGATCTAGGGCATATTTGATATTTCGTTGGAAAAATCAAGCATGGCTATTTAAATTTTTCAAAATCCATAGTGATATAACTTCATTATGGATAGAATCTTTTCTAAGCACTGTGTTCCATGAACTGTTAGGCTGGCTATTTATAGAGTGAAGTCTCTGAAGTTTCATGTGCATTTCTCATTTGCTCCCTTGGCTCCATCTAGTACCAGACATGACAGATGGTGTTGTCCACATTCAACAAATGAGAAAAGAGAGCCTTAGAGGAGCCGTGATTACCAAGGCTGTGGCTTACTCATCTCTCAACTTTTTTTCCTCACTTTAGGATCCATAAAAACAGAGGGAAAGGCATTTTTCATTAAGAATAACTCTTATCTCTATAATGCCTTTTTTCCTCTTAAGGAATTTGAAGCATTTTAAACACATCATAACATTTCTCCTCACAGTATCCCTGTGAAGAAAGTAAGGTTCGTTATTATTACAGAAAAAAACATGTTTTCAGTAAAAGCATTAAACCAGATAAATTAGCAAACCACCCAGAGAATACTTCAGGTTCTGCAATATGCTGTGGCATTTAACCCACTGTGAGTATCACCTGCAGAGACCAGGGTGAAACAAAGTGCCTTCCTTATTGTGAAGTAAGTGCAACAAAGCACTATAAAGGAAACCAAGCAGTAATATAATGGGGCATCAGGGATTAAGGTAGGTTGGTAGTCACTAAAACTGTGTATACTACACAGAATCAAATAACAATGAATATTTAAGACCATGAGAAAATCTAAGTCTCAGTCCTCTGTGATTTATTCCTTTTTTAAAAACTTTTTGGTTTAGTGTAGCCTTATAGAGCCCACACACAGCCCTGCTGCATTGAGGGGAGGTTCAGTTACTGGTCTCAGTTCATAGACTTGAGATTTAAAGAAACTGGATGCCTCAAAATTTCTTGAAATTAGAGGCAGCATTTGGACCTTCACCTGTGGATAGTAGCCAGCTGCTGCACCGGTGAGGACAGGCCATTATGTAAGGGCCCCAGGTTGGTGGGAGGACAAGGGGGCAAAAAAGAAGAAAGTTAACCTAGTTATGGGATTTGTTAAAGGAAACAAGAGAGCTGAGTGGACTTTTTAAAGTGAAAAGTCAGATCAGTAAGATACAAAGGAATAGATTAACTATATATTTCAGGAAGTGTTAAAATACTCTAATTCCTAAGTACATGGTCCTCACTAAATTTCTAACCAAAATATGAAAAATGTACATACACAAGTAGAAAATACATTAAAAACTTTTTATAATAATATATAGTCTATTTGGACTTTCATAATCCAAATAGTTAAATAGTTGCATCATATTTTCCTCAAAGTATACTAAACTGAAATTGGTCAATTTAAGTTTCTTTGTGGAAAAAAAAAGTCTTATTTTGGGGGGGACTGCAAAAATATGTACTCCATGTCTCAGAAAGAGAATCATAAAGACAAAATACCCAAATACCGAAAATAAAGAAGGATGTTAAAATCACATTCAATCTAAACTCCCCAAGGTGTCAACGTTAATGTTTTGAAGAACATCATTACAAACATTGTTTATGTGTATGTCCACAGATAATTAGTTACACATTTACACAGATACTTAACACATGCACTCATCTTGTAAATGCTGAGTTTGCAAAAAAATTTTCTGTTAATCCTCACCCAAGGATATTTTCCATTGATTTTTAAATAGAGTAGGAGGGAGAGAGAGAGAAAGAGAGACATTGATGTGAGAGAGACACATCGATTGGTTGCCTCCTACATGACCCCACCCAAGGCCGGGAATCAAACCTGCAACTCAGGTTCATGCCCTTGACTGGAATTTGAACCCCCAGCCCTTTGGTCCACAGGCTGACGCTCTAACCGCTGAGCCAAATCGGCCAGGGCTGCAACTTTTTCTTTACATCAACAATATGTTGTGGACTTCTTACCATGACAGTAAGTGTAGAGTCACATCATGATTTTTAATACTTGTGTAGTAGCTATGCTGTGTTCTTAACTTATGTGTTGTTTTCAAGTTTAAAACATTTTGATAAACGTCCTTCCAGAAATATCAGATTATACCAATTTATACACCCAGCAACAAGGCATGCTACTTATTTATGAATAATGGGTGTGGTCATTTGGGCATCCTGCATTTAAAAAAATCTTGACTTTAACACAACTCTTTTGTTGTGTTTGAAAACCTGGAGTAGTGGATGTGCGGTCTGTTTAAAGTTAGCCTCAACAAAAGTTTTGGTTCGTCATTTTAAAGCCTAAATGCCCACTTCTATCACATGCAAAGAATTTTGTCTTTGAAGCAATCTAGAAGGATCAACAATTTGTTTCTGTTTTAAGGTTTGCATAAACGGGAGTTTTCCAGTAAAGTTGAAATGCTAATTATATACTGATTATGAAGTGTTTGGTAGTTAGCAGGTGTTAAGCAGAATGAAAATGATCCTGTACATTGAAATGAAGTCAAGAAGGGAGTGTCTCACCACTTCACACTATGTGATCTAATAATCCGAAGTATCAGAATTATAAATATCAGGATTCTAAACATTCTCCTTTGTTGTTTATCCATTAGATCAAGTCCCAGACTCTACTTTGGAAGTCTGGCTATCCATTAACTGTTCTTTCAGTATTTTGTTGTTGTTAATCCTCACCTTTTCCATTGATTTTTTATAGAGTAGAAAGAAGGGAGGGAGGGAGAGAGAGAAACATAAGTGTGAAAGAGACACATCGATTGGTTGCCTCCCACATGACCCCAACCGGGGCCTAGGATTGAACCTGCAACCCAGGTACATGCCCTTGACCGGGATTCCCTTGACCCTTTGGTGCGCAGGCCGATGCTCTTAACTGCTGAGCCAAACCGGCCAGGGCAAGTTCTTTCAGTATTTTAAAGAACACATCTGAAACTATTTAGTGTAATAAAATGCTTGAATAAGAAAATGATTTTTGCCCTAGCCAGTTTGGCTCAGTGTTTAGAGCATCAGCCAGCAGACCAGAGTCATGGGTTCTATTCCAGCCAAAGGCACATACCTCACTTGCGGTTTGTCCCCAGCCCTGGTCAGGGTCCTGTGGGAGGCAACCAATCTGTGTGTACCTCTCACATCGATGTTTCTCTCTCTCTTTCTGTCTCTCTGTCTCTCTCTCTCTCCCACTCCCTCTCACTCCCTCTCCCACTGTATCTGAAGATATTTGAGAAAATATCGTCGGATGAGGATAAAAAAAAACAAAACAAAATGATTTTCAGTGGGGCCTTAAAGTTGATTATCACTTATTTTCCAATTTAAGACCTAAATATAGAGTAATTTTTTTAACATTATTGACTATAGTTATGGGGGAGTTCCCCTCTTTCTACCACAATTCCTTGAAAGTAGACTATCCTATTTTCCCATAGGAATAATAAAATTCGGAACTGTGGTCATGACCTAGAGTCAACATCAAATAAATGAGGCCTGTACATTAAAAGCAAAGATAAAATAACTTAAAATAAATATTAAGTAACAAAGTATTTTTAAAATATATTAGATGTGGCCCTAGCTGGTTTGACTCAGCGGTTAGAGAGCGTCAGCCTACGGTCCAGAGAGACCCGGGTTCGGTTCCCGCTAAGGGCACGTACCTTGGTTGCAGTTTGTTCCCAGCCCTGGTTGGTCGTGCGGGTGGCAGCCACTCGATGTGTCCCTTTCACGTCGATGTTTCTCTCTCTCTCTCTCTCTTCCTCTCTCTCCCTCTCACTCTACCTGAACAAAAAGTGGAAAAATGTCCTCAGGTGAGGATTTAAAAAAAATAAAATAAAATATTTAGATGTGAATCTGTGTTTAAAATATGGATATAGACAATGGACCTCTAAATGTAAAATAATAGTCATAAAACTCTAAAGTAATTTACCATCATATCCCTTAAGGATGTGTGAGTGTGTCATGCACATACAGTTACATATATATATATATATATATATACACACACACACACACACACACATATAAAATCTTGTTATACAGGATCTCTGTAATCATTCTTTTCAGGACTGTTAAAGCTGATATCCTGTTTTGACTCAAACCTATTACAAGCAGAAACAAAGCTGTGCATAGTTTCATTGATTATTACTTCCAGATTAGCCACCATCAGATTTAATTCAAAAGTCACAGTGGATTTTAATTAAGTTTTGAATCAGTTCTTCCTTTCTGTCTTTCCTTTGCTGTCTCCCTCTCAGTGCCAAGGTCAGTATTAAAGAGGCAAAGAAGTTTTTTTAAAGTTATTCTTCAAGAAAGCAAAGGAAAATGAGAACACAGGCAGTTTTCCTGCTTTGCCCTGGTTATTTTGGAGGTGGGGTTGGGGAGGATATATCCAAGAGCTGTATGTGTGATTCACTTGCAGAAGTTTTAAAATATTAACCCATGAAACGAACCCCCTTCCTCCCCACCACCAGGTGCTTGCAGTCACTACCCAGGCGAGGCGCTGGTATAATGATAAGTGCATTGGGAATTATACTGCCTATAATTTTTACAATGAGAAGTATCATTAATGACTGGTGGTAATGTGTGTATGTGTGTTTTCCAGGCTAGTGGAGAAAGGGTGAATTTAACAATTGCTAGACCAGGGAAACCCCAGTCTGGTAACACTATCCGGGAAGCAGGAACTCAGAGCAGCAGCCAGCACCATGCACAGCCGCTGTATTACAGCAGACCCAGCTCACATAAGGTGAGGAGTTCTGTTTGTGTGTTTTACTTAATCCACTCTCAAAGGATCATTGTTACAAGCTGGTACAATTTAAATGAGGGCTGTTATTGTGTTGGTGAAGGTGAACATGGGAGTTGAGGATGTAAAATGTACATGTTTCCTGCCTTGGAGAGTGATTTTGTGTGGCAGATCCTCAGACAATGGAGATGGTTTCTTAGTGAAGAAGGTCCCTCTGCCAGGTGATTGATGAGAAGTGTTTGATCTTCCAGAAAAAATTTTTTATTTATTTAGTCCTGCTTGAAAGTGGGCTTTATCTTGGGTTGCTCATTTAAATGCAACAGATGGTTATCTAATTGAAAAAGCAAAATGAAGACAGTGATGGACAAGTCTATACTTCATAATTGAGCAGGTTACCTACGACAACAGAATTAGATATGTGATTATTAAATGTATAAATCATACATTATTTATTTATTTATTTATTTATTTTGTTCAGGTAGAGCAGGAGGGAGAGAGAGAGGAAGAGAGAGAGAGAGAGACATCGACGTGAAAGGGACACATCAAGTGGCTGCCACCCACACAGCCCAACCAGGGCCAGGGACAAACTGCAACTGTGGTACGTGCCCTTAGCGGGAACCGAACCTGGGTCTCTCTGGACCACAGGCCGATGCTCTAACCACTGAGCAAATTGGCCAGGGCTAAATCATACATTTTAATATGATTTAAACACATTTTTTTTAATATTATAGCTTATAGGATTGCTACCCTAAATTATTTAAAATTCTTATATGTTGATCATTTTTACAGCTTCTTTAATATTTCAGTGGTATTATAATATATTCCTGGGACACATGTATCTATCTGTACTGAGAATTTGATACTCTCTAACTTTAGTTGCAGAAATCAAAAAAGGGTGGTATTTCACTGCATTTTTTTATATTATTTACTTCATTTGATCCTTCATTTGAACTCAGCCTCTGCTTGGCCAGGATTTTTTCAACGATGATGTTCATCCTACTATGTGAAAATATAAGCTAAATGTGAGCTTCTAAAGTCATTTTCCTTAAGTAAAATTAAATTGCTTTACCATACAAAAATGTATTCATTGGTCTGCTTAAAAACCATAGAAATTTTCTATGTGCTAAAATGGCTTCTTAATGTAAGTACAGTATTTGAGAAAGTAATTACCTTTGGAATGTCACGGGTACCCTAAGAAAGCATTGCTTAAAGACACGAGTATTTTTGGCCCATCAGGTTTATCTGGTTTTCTGAGCTTAAGTACAGACTTGTCACTGGTCTTTGGTTTAGTTAATACTTATACAAAATTATAACTACAGACTTTGTTCTCATTTCTGAACAAAAACCAAAATGTATAAGGGAAACCTATAATTTTGCCTTCATAATGATGACTATGAAAAAGGAATTAGTGTTTTGAACAGGAATTTTTAATAGGAGTTGTTTCAGATAGTTTGTCTTTGCTTTTTACAAGATGTATATTCCTAAAGAATTGTAATGTAAGCCAAAAGTTGATTATTGAATTTTTTGTCATTGAGTTCTACAATAATTTGAGATATGGGTATCTGACAACATATATTATTTTAAGACATAAGAAAAAATTTTAAAATGCATTTAATTATTTCAACATTTAAATAGATAATTCGGCTTCATTTTGTTTGCTTGGGGCACATATATTTTTCTCTTTTAACTCTGCTCATTCTTATTCTCTTTAATTTTATGTGACGGTATACTAAAAGCAATGCTGAATTTGTTCTTATTCCAGGTACTCTGCAAACCTAGTTAGTTGGAACAATCATATGAAATGTACTTTTAAGTGTTAATTTAGCTATTTACTCTTGCATTTGTTGTCAAATCTGATTTAGAAACACAAAGGTCTCTTAGGGAAAACCAACACAAATTCATTAAAACAACTGTTCAAGTGATTATAATTGTTAAAAATTAAAGTATACATTAGTCTACTACTTAACTTCTAAGTAGCTGCTTGGATAAACATTCATGGGGTGTTGAACCCAGAGAAGTTTCCTTGAAACTTATCCAGTGTGATCATTGAAGTCGAGTTTGGTTCCTGAGGGAAAAAATGCAAAGTCTCAGCCATCAGAGGAATAAAATCCCCACCTTTAAATGATGAAATGCCTGAGAGCCAGAACACTTAAGTAAATATACTCAAGGCATGACTTGTCTTTATAATAAAATGGTTTTGCCCAATTTTGAAGGTTACTAATTAACATAGATTTCATACATTTAGATAAGAGATCACTTTAAGACATTTACGAGTTTTCTAGGTCATAACATTTTCTAGGAACACCCTGCTGTTATTACAAATAGTTCCCTTGATAAAATTTCCAGAGAATAGAGATTCTAGGACCAGAGAAGGTCACATAGCCTGGAATTCCACGACCTGGTTAACAGATATGCACATGTAAACTCTTTGAATTTATACCACTAAAGGAAAGGCTATAATTCTGTAAATATAATTCATATATTTTCTTTGTTGAAATTGTTAGTAACATTAATATAATTATCTTCTTATCTACAGCATTCTCTTATAGTTGATAAGTGTTAGAAACTTTTTGAGACCTTAGCTTCCACTGTTACATTTAGTGGGATAGTTCCTGTGTGGTGCGGGTACATAAAAACAATAGATATACATAGTGCATCGTACTATATGTACATGTACAAAACCTATATAAATATATATATTTTTGAAACTCACATCTGTCTCAATTCCAGTTATATAATTTGGGGCAAGTTACATGACGTCTCAAACATTGTTTCCTCATCCATAAATGGGGCCAATAATAGTATTTACATTTGGGGACACTGTGAAGAGGAAATGAAATAATGCATGTAAAGCCATTAGCTTTGCACACAGTAAGCCCTCAATAAAGTTAGTTATTGTTATTTTAATGTTAACATTGCATATCTACACCTTGTTTTTCATTGAATTCTAATTCAGAAAAAAATGTGATGTTTTAAAATCTTTGAGGATTGTCTCAGTAATAAGTAGCAATAACAGGTGTCACTAAAAATAGCTTTCCCTTGAGGATATAGTATGTTGAGAATTTATTTTCCTGTCATTAACTTCTTTAAAAATGTAGTTATTTCACCCTGGCCAGGAAGCTCAGTTGCTTAGATGCACTAAGGTTGTTGAGGGTTTGAACTCCAGTCAGGGCACTTGCAAGAAGCAACCAATGAATGTATCAGTAAATGGAACAACAAATCGATGTTTCTCTCTCCCCCTCCCTCTTTCTCTCTCAAATCAATAAATAAAAAGTTTTTTTTTTAATTTAGTTATTTTATGTCCTATTTTAGCTTTTCATGAAGGTTTTGAAGATAGGTTTGCACGTGCTTCTGACTGAGTTTTCTAATAAAACCCACATTAGTAAGAATCAAGATAGATCTGTGGCTTTTTTCTGGCAGTTGGCAAAATCCACATTTTACTTTTGTACTTCTTTCAAAAAGTAGGGGGGAAAATGGAAGAAAAGTTAATTGGCTCATATTCAGAATCTTAAAACTCAAACACATGTCTACATTTATAGAATTGATGCATCTTGGAGGTTAAGGTAACTATAGAACGACATACCTGTTTCACTTTAACCTCCACATGTCAGTCCTGAGTCGTTTCAGTTCCATAAATATAGCCCAAAGTTCGACATAGTGATCCACAGTGAACAGTGTAGTGTTTGTACCTGTGAGGAACTGTGTATTGCTTTCAGTTCTATAGTAAGTGATAAAAAAAAATGACTTACAGTTGCCATGTAAGTTTTTACATTAGTTGAAGCTGTCCTTGCTGTATGTTATCAGTCCAGTAAATATACTCAATAAATTTTCTTCTCATGACTTAGGATCTTACCCAGTGTGTTACATGCCAAGAAAAGCACATTACTGTAAAGAAGGAACCTCACGAGTCCCTTGGAATGACAGTAGCTGGGGGCAGAGGAAGTAAGAGTGGTGAACTGCCCATCTTCGTGACCAGTGTGCCGCCTCACGGCTGCCTCGCCCGCGACGGCAGGATCAAGAGAGGTAAGACAGGCTCCTCAGCAGCTTCGCCACACCTCCCTGCATTTAACTCTGTACGTAAAGAATATGTACAAAGTTTTCTTTTAAATGTGACTGTTTTAATCCTTTATAATGTCCCTTTCGTGTATAAGCATAAAGCCTCTGTAGGCTACAGAAATGCCTACTCTAAAGGGAAATTGCTGAAGTTGGCATTTTCTAACAGTTATTGAGACTGTTGGGCTATTTTATGTTGGAAAAAACTCTAAGAAATGTATGTGTCCTGCGTTATGGCAGGCTAGATTCTCCGAAGGACCATTGCCAAAATACAAGTGTTGCTTAAAGTAAAGTAGGAGGGGCTCACAGAGGAGGTGGAGCAGAAGACCAGCTTTCAAAGATAGTGGGGTTTAGGAATTAACCCGTTTACAGGTTCACATTCCTAATCAACATGATATAATTTGTTGGGGGGGGGTGGCAGTGGTAAAAACAACATTCTTCATACACTTGGTTTGTTCATGTGGAAAATGAGTCTTAAAAGCTCTTTTTCCAAGAGTGAAGTTGGATTCCTACCTCAAACTACATACAGTAATTAGCTTACTATGGTTCCAAGACCTAAATGTAAGATCTACAACTTTCAGAAGAAAGCATAAATGTAAATATTCATGACCTAGGCAATGGTGTTCTCAGATATGGCACCAAAAACACAAGCATCAATGACAAAATAGATAAGATGGACTTGATCAAAATCACAAATTTGATGAAGGATACACACCACCAAGAAAGTAAAAAGATAACCCACAGCATGGGAGAAAATATTTGTAAATCATATCTCTGAGAAGGACTTGTATCTGGAGTACATAAAGAACTCTTACAACTCAATAAATAAAAAGGTGAATAACCCAATTGAAAAATGGGCAAAGGATCTAAATAGACATTTCTCCAAAGGAGATACACAGATGGCCAATCATCTCAGGAAAAGATGCTCATTGTCATTGGTTATTAGGGAAATGCAAATCAAAACCCCTTCACACTCACAAGGATGAATATAATAAAAAAGATAGGCAATAACAAACTTTAGCAAGGACGTGGAGAAATTGGAACCTTTATACATTGCCAGTGGGAATATAAAATGGTGCAGCTGTTTTAGAAAACAGTTAATCAGTTCCTCGAAAAAGTTAATCATAGTGTTATCATATGATTTAACAATTCTGTTCCTGAAGAAATGGAAACGTGGCCACACAAAAACTTGTACATGAAATTTCATAGCAGTATTTTTTTTTTTTTTTCATCCTCACCCGAGGACATTTTTCCATTTTTTTTATTCAGGTAGAGTGGGAGGGAGAGAGAGGAACAGAGAGAGAGAGAGAGAAACATCGATGTGAAAGGGACACATCGAGTGGCTGCCACCCACACAACCGACCAGGGCCGGGGACAAATTGCAACCGAGGTATGCGCCCTTAGCGGGAACCGAACCCAGGTCTCTCAGGACCGCAGGCCGACGCTCTAACCGCTGAGCCAAACCGGCCAGGGCCATAGCAGTATTTTTTATAGTGACCAAAAAGAGGAAACAACCCAAATGTCTATCAGCTAATGAATGGATTAACATAATGTGGTATATCCATATAATGGAATACTATTTGGCTATAAAAAGGAATGAAGTATTGACACAGCTACAATATAGGTGAATCTTGAAAATACTGTGCCTATGGAAAGAAGCCAGTCACAAAAGACCATGTGTGGTTCCATTTGTATGGTATGCCCAGATGGGCAGATCTATAAAGATAGAAAGTAGAGTAGTGATTACTTAGGGCTGGGGGAAGGGAAGTGATTGCTAATGGGTACATGTTTTTGGAGGGGTTGATCTTAAAATGATGTATGATGATTGTACAACTCTGTGAATATACTAAAAACTGCAAAATTATAACTTTGAATGAATGAATTGAATATTATATGAATAATATCTTACTAGGGCTGCTGTTTTTAAGTTATTTGTACAGTTATAGAATTGGGAGTAATTTTATTTCCTTCTCGTTATTTATTATGTTTTCCAAATTTGCTACAATGAGAGTGTTTTGCTTTAACAATCTGAATAGTAAATGATGATCTGGGAGAGAAGGGTTTTCTGTAGGCTTTCTTGGTACAAGTGTGTGTGCTTCCTACAGAAGTAATCCTTTCCTTCCTAACCTTTTGTTTAATCCTCATGGCCCTTTTTATTATATTACTTGACAGAGGAACAAATGTGTTTTATCTTCCTCAAGCAAGAGAAGATATTCAAATCACAAGTTTCATTTCTTTGTGTAGGCCCAAGAATATCTTTCCATATTCTGATATGTTTGCACTGAATGAACTATGTCGGGCTGTATTTATGTATAAAACTGTAAACATAAAATATACTATAAAAATTTATTTCTAATGCAAAATGTCAAATAATTTTTGAGTTAAAAAAAAAAAACAATAGAAATAATTGAAGCTCAAGGGAAAGAAATAATGTGCCAGGGCCTGTACCCAGCTAAACCTAAGACATGCCTGGGCCAAGGGTCTGGACTTCCAATTGAATCACGGTGCCTCAAGCCACTCTTTTTCCTATATACTATGAAATTATTTTAAATTTTTAAATTGTTTTGGAATGTTTTTTTATGAATTGAGTTTTTTCTCAGTATTATAAAAATTACGAAGAACTAAACAATGGTCTTTTAACTTATCTGAGTCATTGAAACTAACTTTCGTTGATTAGTTTACCAGTAGAAGAATTTACAGGGAAATAATCACTTGGTAGCTCAGCTCCTTTCTTTTCTTTGTTTTTGTCTCCTCATTTGAGCAGGTGATGTATTGCTGACTATCAATGGCATTGATTTGACCAATTTAAGTCACAGTGAGGCTGTTGCTATGCTGAAAGCCAGTGCTGCGTCCCCCGCTGTGGCCCTGAAAGCCCTTGAGGTCCAGGTCGTTGAGGAGGCCTCCCAGGCCACGGACGAGCAGCCAAGCACCTTCAGTGAAAACGAGTATGATGCCAGTTGGTCCCCATCGTGGGTCATGTGGCTTGGGCTTCCAAGGTACTGACAGCTTTTATGTTTTATGAAATAATCATAATTACAACCTTTATTAGTGTGTAACCCAGTGATTTCAGTTACTGATGAAAAAAAGGCTTTGATTAGATAAAAGTAGCAACATCAAATCGAGTTACAAAATAAAATGATAATTTTGCTTAGGTTATTACATTTGAAAGGTAAATTTAATAATAAGAACTAAGCTAAAAATATATCTATTTATAAAAATGAATAAAACCATTCTGTCTGTTTCTGTTAAGGCTCGTAAGTGGGCAAACCATGAGAGTGGACTTTCAGTTTCTCGCTCAGGAAAGTTGTCATTGTCGAGGTTCATTCTGATACACGCTTAGCCTTCATGTGCATGGGGTCAAAGTGTGGGGCCTTGTCCTAACCCAGAAGGCGTTCTAAAAGCCGTTTGTTCTTTATCCTTTTAACTCTGCTAAAATGGCAGGGTATAAAACTCAGTTTTTGTTGGACATAAGAGTCTTAAGCCCAATGATTGGTGTTAAAGAGTAGCTGCTCCTAATCACATTTCTGGAGAATTTGTTGCCCTGTGACTGACTGACCAACCAACCAAGGCCTCTGAACGTGGTTAGTGTCTGGACACGGAAACCCTTAGAACCTGCAGGTGATTGTTGGGTAATTTGATATTGAAATAGGAAGAATGTGTTAAACTGTCTTTGTTGCCACATCAGCTTAGATTCTTAACGTATAAAAAAGTCCTAAAACTGAACTATGATGAAACATTTTGACTCTTAACAAAGTATGAAAATTACTTCTTTAAAATAAAAATAAACATTAATAATGTACTGATTTGGGGGCTGTCTAGCTTCATTTGGGATAAATTTGTAATAACTAGAATTTGTATGATGATCTATAGTTTATAAAGTACTTTCACAGAAAGGACAGCAAAGAATCGAGGATATTATTAGATTATTGGATATTAATGGATTATCCAATTGGTTTATTAGATCATTTGTTTATAATCTAACTTGCTGACTTGTCTTCTTGGTTAAAAAAACAAAGAGGCCTAAAATTGTAGTAGAATTCATGTCTCAGGTTCCTACAGGGACCTTGTATGTGGACCTTGTAGAGAGATTTCTTTATGACAGAGATGACTTAGCTACTTCATGTCTGTTCATTCCATGCAACAAGACTGAAATAGGAGATTTTTGTTACTATTTTCTAGATTGAGTTTCCTGTTTTGTCAATTATAGCGGTCTTAAAATGAAAGCATTTTAAGTGAAGGATGAAAAAAACGACGACACGTTTTAACTCCCTGTGTAGATTAAAAAGAGGGATAGTGACCTTACAGTTTTTGGGAAACCGCTGTACTGCTCATTTTCTTTCATCTGCGTGCTGAAGTCAGCAGTACCAGACCCCTCTACCACCTTTTAAAAGATGCGAATTTTAAAGACACAAATTTTGAAGGTGCCAGTGGATATCAGAATAGAGGGCCTGTTGACAGTGCAGTGAGCAAATACAGACTCAGACCATTGTGTACTAATTTCTGAGGTGTAATTTACAGCCAAGTTTATTTAAGCTGTGTGTGTGTGTGTGTGTGTGTGTGTTCATGTTCACTTGGTAAGAGAATGAAAAAAAAGTGAAAGAAATTCAAGTTACCTACAACTGCATCTGTGCTGGAAAATGGTCAAAATAATACATTCAGAAGAAGAAACTAAAGTAGCCCTTTTTCTTTTCCCGGTGGTAGAAAATATGACATGGTGTGCAGTTACAACAAAGATGAACAGTCTATAATCGCCTCCATTAATTGTTTCCTGATGTTTGTGTTTGTTTATAGTTCCCTTCATAGCTGCCATGATATAGTTTTACGAAGAAGCTACTTAGGAAGTTGGGGCTTTAGTATCGTTGGTGGATATGAAGAGAACCACACCAATCAGCCTTTCTTCATTAAAACCATTGTCTTGGGAACTCCTGCTTATTATGATGGAAGATTAAAGTGAGTCTTGTTATTTGCTGATGTGATTCGTGTTTGTTGTGATGGACACAATCTAGACCAGGGGTCAGCTCCAAATGCAGCTGTCTATGCTTGTAAATAAATTTTTATAGGAACATGGTGATACTCACTTGTTTACATGTTGTCTGTCAACTGCTTCTGAGCTACTGTGGCGGAGTTGAGTTGTTGTGACAAAGACCGTGTGATTGGCAAAGCCTAAAATACATATTTGCCATCTAGCCCTTTACAGGAAAAATGGCCAACCCTGATCTAGACTGAAGCGTCACCTTCACCATCTTCCTGTCATAGTTCTATTTCACTGATTAACGACAGGACTGAACCTGAGTCACGGCCCTGCACGTGCTGCGATGTGAACAGCTCGGAGCAGTTTGCCACACAGCCCACTCAGGTCCAGGCCTGTCATTAGATGCCTCTGCTTAATCTTTCTCCACAGCACTTGTCCACCGAACACTATCCTAATGCAAGCTCCAGGCAGTGGGGTGGATTTTGTTACATTTATTGTTACATCCCTGGCAGCCAGAGCAGTGCCTTGCCTGTGCAGTAAGGTCTCAGTCAATATCCTATGAATGAGTGTGTGATGGTTGACACTGTGCCAGGTGCTTGTGATTGATTGTGTTATTGAATCCTCTTAACCCTAGGAGGTGTTTTTGGTGGTGTTATTCCTGGTTTATAAATGAGATAACTAAGGCTTAGAAAAGTTAAGAAACTTACCCACAATCAAACAGCTGAAAGTGACTGACTGCGATTTAAGCTCCAGAGCCTTTTCTGTTAACGCCAATTGTGCCCACTGGACAGAAACTGCTTGTTCAGCCGCGGGCAGCCGCTTTCCTTTCCAAAGCTCAGGTGCTGGGAGAAGAACGAGGTGTTATATCAAGAGAGCATGCAAACAGAAAGGAGGTGTGGACGATTGTAAGTTCTTAGTGCCTAGTTTTTGATGAAAGAACCAGTTCTCAGAAAGTAAGTTTGACGTAGACAGAATGCTGCACAAATGGAGAGTGGCCAGTGTTTGCAGACAGTGACATCAGCATAATACTGTGAGAAGGATCGGTGTGCCCCAGACCAGTCTTCTCTCAGACTGCTTTATAAAATCAAAAGCATTATTTTATAAGGAAAGAGTAGGGAGAGATGAATTTACCATTCTCTAAGCTAAGTTAACCAGTTTGAGTCTCAGTTAATTAGTTTATAATTTGCATTCCACCTTCTTCCAAAAAGAAATTGAGGTGGCTAACAATAAAATAGCATATTCATATTACAAACTAAAGACCAAAAATCATAAAAGATAGATTTATTTGCCTAATTATATTTTGCCTTATGCTTAGATGAAAATTATTCTTCTTGCCCTTCAAATCACTCACTAGTTTACAGGAGAGGGTAGCAGAGGAGTACCCTTGATTGGCATGGAAAACCAGCTTAAATAATCACCCTAGATGTTTCTCAAAGTAGATAATATACCCTAGCCATTGACAGTCAAGGGTTAGCTGAAACTGATTTTTATGTTAAACAAATCTTAAGGTAATGGATGTTTCTCCCTCTCCCCCTCTCTCTAAAATCAGTAAAAACCATATATATATTTATATATATAAAAGGTAATGGTTTTAATGCCATGAAAATCCTGACAATCTTTTTCTGTTTCTGTCTGTCTTCGTCCAGATGTGGAGACATGATCGTGGCCGTCAATGGCCTGTCAACTGTGGGCATGAGTCACTCTGCGCTAGTTCCCATGTTGAAGGAGCAGAGAAGCAAAGTCACTCTGACGGTTGTTTGCTGGCCTGGCAGCCTGGTGTAGATGTTGAAATTGTCTTTGAGTCAAACATCTTTCTTTTTTAGGTTCTGAAAAGAAAACCCTTTTACTCCATTATGTTTCTGGTTGTTAGGAGCTACTGACACAGCTGGTATATGCAGGGCCCCAAACCACTACGATTGTCCTTCTGTTGTTATTTAAGTGGTTTTCCTCAAGTTCGCCACATTTCTTTCAGCTTGGAAACAGTCTTCCACTACCCCTGTGAGTTCGTATTTTCAGAATGTGACCTATGATAATGAATGAAGTCCCCAAACTGTGACCAGCCAGCTGGATTAGAGGCCGTCTGGCCCTGCTTGCACTGAACCCGGTCGGGGCTGCACGCGCCCGGCCCTGGCATCAGGAAGGCGGTAGCAGTAGCACTTGCTGCCGCTCTCGCTGCCAGCGCCACGACTGGATGCCTTGCAAACCCGGACGGTGACCGTTTCCCACTTTCCTTAGGTGCCAACATTTCAAAACTTCATGCTGTTTATAAGGTGATTGTTCTGGCTTATTTCTTTAATCTCTCAGCATTCATAGACGATGAAGATATAAGTTTTACACCACAAAGACTTATTAAAAAGAACATACCTTTATTAGAATAGTAGAAAATAGAAGATAGCATTATCCAGTGACACAGGAACTGGGAGACAATCACAGTTTGGCGCTGGAGGTGGTAAAAGCTGCATTTACTTGAATAGTCCAAAAGCATTAAAGAGTCGTTTCCAAAGGAATGTTTTATGTAGGAAAGTTTTGAACCTGTTTTTGTTAAAAATTGTTTTCTAGATTTTTTTATTATCCTATCAGCAAACTTGGCTGGAAATGTTTTTGTGATTTATGTAATTAGATAATAAAGATAAAACCATTCAGTAATACATCACAGCTAAGTAGGAGAAGCTAGACCTTTTTTTATTTTATGCTGGTAAGATTCTTGAGTATTTTAGAAACCTTTATTTTTCCCCATTATTTCTTTACTTATAAACTTAATTGTTTTAAGAAAAAGTGGAAAGTTCTGTGTTTATCTGAAAATAGTAGGTTTTAGATGTGAATGTCTTTCAATAAGTTTTTGATCACTAGACTATTTCATATTTTTTAGATGTTTTTGAAAACTATGGCCAGCCCATTTTATTTGTCCTTTATTCAGTATGGTTGTCCTTTGGAAGAACACATAAAGGAGTGAATAAGAAAAAAGTATCCTTACCTTATTAATATTATGCATACTTGAAAAAAGTTTCATTAGAAACCTAGTTCAGAATCTGAGCTAATTTACAAGTGACCTCTGTAATAAATGGTATTGATGATCAGAGAATGTATTTCAAAATACTACAGTGTATTATGAAGCATGACCACTTTGTTTTCAAACTTAATTGCATTGCTAGAGTTCATTGTATTCTAGCATGTCATTGATTATTACAGTTAGTTTTATAATGATTTTTTAAAATATATCTCTTTTGAATAAATAAGAAATGGAAACAGTTATGTTACTAACTTGTTAACCCCTTAGCCACACTGTAGTCGACGGAGAGCCAAGATACAGTGGAATGCCCATGCAGTATATTACTGTACATCGTGATTGGCTTCGGAAGCAATTTGATATTGTAATCCTTTGATATTCGAATTGACACGGAACAAGTTTTTTTCCTGCTCCCCAAGTAGAATTTTGTAACCCACTTTACTATTTTATTAAACATTTTGTAAGACTGTATAATTTCTTGGGGAGTGGCCATCCATCAACAAATATCCTAACTGCTACTTTGTTATATATATAAAATACTTTCATTGAACACAGTGGTATAAGGAGTATTCTGAAAGAAGAAACGCTTTTCAATATTATTTTTATCATGGAAATCTTGAAATCAGCATAAACTAATTTGGTTTTATTACTAAAGACTAGCTTTTGGTCAGAATGATATTTGGTGATGGAAACTTGTTCATAATTTATTGTTACTGTTGAAATATTTGAATTTTGTCATTTGAAGCTTAAATAGTTAAATATTTCTATTTGTTCTGTGCCTTCAGTTTAAATTATTTCAGGATTTTTCAGACACGTTTAAATAATGGTGTGATAATCATTCTTGATGGAAATAAAAGTCATCGTTTCTGTAACAGCGACTTTGTGTCTTCTAGAGCAGCAGATGTTGCCTGTGTGTGACCCTTATTTCGTTTGTTCACCGCTGTCATTCCAGTATCCCAGGCTCGAGGCCCAGGACCCCAGACTCGTGTTCTTTCTCATTCCTGCGGGGGAGTGCGTGATCCTGCGGGGGAGTGCGTGATCCCTGCGGGGGGAGTACTTGATCCCTGCGGGGGAGTGCGTGATCCCGCGGGGGAGTGCGTGATCCCGCGGGGGAGTGCGTGATCCCTGCGGGGGTGGGTACGTGATTCCTGCTGACTCGGGAGTTTCGCCCGTGGGCACCTCCAGCTGCATGGCCCCTTGACACCTGAGATGCAGCCAGTGCTGCATGTTGAAATGATAATACCTTGGATATAGTAGATTATATCAAATATATTATTGAAATTAATTTCACCCATCTAGTTTTACTTTTTTACAATGTGGCTACCAGAAGATTCTGAGTTGCGCGTGTGGCGCCCTTGCGTTTCCGTTGGACAGCGGCGTGGTCTCGCCTTTCCTCCGGCTCAGCCCTTACGGGCCCGCGGTCCTGGTGTGCTTTCTGTTCTTCCGGAGCTTTGGTCACTCCCCGCATTAAAACACATTCTTTAATTAAAAGAAAGCAAGCTGTGCCCTGGTTTCCTAGTAGATTACGTTCAAACCAAGACCACTGTGTCTGACCCCTGATCGGTTTTTCAGACGACCGCGTCCGTTCGCCCCTCAGTGCTCCCTCGCCCTCGGTGCCGCCCCTGCACACACCGGTCCCGGTCGCTGCCCTGAGTGCCCTGCCTCTCCCGGGGCCGCGTTCGGAGGCGCAGCCTGCACAGCTCCCTCTCGCTCCCTTTCCTCCCTCCACTTCTGCTTTCTAGAGAATCACCCTCCTTGTGAAACCTCCGCCAGCCTCCACAGTGATGCATTGTGGTTCTGACCACTTCCAGCTAATGTAAGTCCGTCTTTGACAGCCGCCTTGTAGTTGTGAACACTTGATGCCCGGAGTCCGTAGCTCCCACTCTAGTCTGAATGTCCTGTTGCTTTGAGGTCTGTCATCTCAGTTCCCTACACTAAAACCGGATAAGCAAGCAGTGGCCTACTTTCACTCCATCTTTTCTTCTTCCGTTTTTAATCCCCACCTAAAGATACGTTTATTGATTTTCCAGAGAGAAACATCAAGCAGCTGCCTTCCACAGGCACCCTACCAGGGATCGAAGCCACAACCTTTTCTGGTGCACAGGACAGTGCTCCGACCGAGCTCCGGGCCAGGGCCACTCCTCCATCCTGTGATCATCGCTCCGATCGTATCCTTGCCTGTCTGAACCTTGTCAGTAGCTGTCCGCTGTGCAGCAGGGGGTCAGGAGTCCCTCAGATGTGGCCCCTGCCTGCTTAACTGTGCCTTCCACCCTCGGATCTAACACCACCCACACCCTCACACCCGCCCTCCTGTGCACAGGGGCTGGTGGCTCCCGTGACAGCGCCTCTCTCGGGAAGTCTTTACCAACCTCCGGGCAAGCATCATTTCTCTCTGCAAAAGTTTTATTAAATTACATTTTTATAGTCATCAGTGTGTACTAGGAAGAAGAAAACAGATTTGTGAGGTGGTGGTTGACGGCCACTGTCTGTAGCAGTTTTTAAAAGACATTAACTGTCAGAGATCCTGTGCCTTCCAAAGAGCCCAAGGTTTTCAGAGGGGGAATCTAGGCCTAGATCCGTTTTCTGTCCCAGGGTCCCATCCAGGACACCTTGGTCATCTAGTTACGAGTCCCAAGGCTCCCCTTGGCTGTGCATTTTGTCAGACTCCTTGTTTGTGAGGATCTTGACCATGTTACCATCTGGGACGTGGGGGGCCCTCTACTGGAATTTGCTGGTTTTTCTGACGATTGGACAGGTTACTGGTTTGGGGAAGGAAGATCACAGTAAAGTGCCGTTTTCCTTATGTCATATCGAGTGTGTGTACTGTCAGCATGATTTATGACTTGATTTGATGTTGACCTTGGTCACCTCTCCTAAGTTGTGTTTGTCAGGTTTCTCCACAGTAAAGTTACTTTTCCCTCTACCCCCGCCCCAATAGTGTACTCTCTGGACTGAAGTCACTATACATAGCCCACATTCAAGGTTGGGGAGTTCTGTTCCCCCTTTGTTTATTTTTGAGCTGTCAGGGAACTGAGGGGGCTGGGAAGGGAAGGTCTCGTGGATGGGTAGAAGCAAGGAAGCGGGATGCTTGGCTAAGAATGTCAGGAGCGTATTTCTTTCCCAAAGCCCTCCCTCTACTCTATTTCATAGTTCAATTCCCCAAAGAGGTGTCTTCATTTTGTGCTTTTTCACTCTTTATTTTTAAATGTATAAGTTTTTCCAACACAGAAAGTTGGGACAATTACGATGAACACTTGTGGACCCAGCAGGGTCGCTGGTGCTGAAGGTCCCTGCCCTTTGGACCCGCTTGTCCTGGCCTCCCTGCGTGTCTCTCATAACCACGGCGTGTTTAGCCTCCAAATACAGTTTGCGCGCGTGCTCTCACACGAGTGACACCACGCTTATGGGTGTTCGGCAACCAATTGCTTCTGCGTCAGCAGGGTTCATTCGTGTTGTATGTGGTTTAAGTTCATTTTCATGGCTATGTATTTAGTGACTGTCAATTTTATACCTGTTCTTTAGTTGATGGACATTTCAGTGTTTGTTTCTGTGTGTTTGCCATCATTGACAATGCTGCTGCGACCACTCAGAATTAGCCTCCCTGTGCACCTGGGAGAGTTTCTCCAGGGCCAGGGTTATTCAGCACCAGCTCCATGGAAGAATCGATCGGAAGGAAGGGGTGAAATGGCATCGTGAAGTTTCCATTCGCAGTTTCCTGATTACTGGTGAAATCTAGTATCTTCTCTGTTTACCAGCCATTCCAGTGTCCTCTTTGGTGAATAACTTGTTTGACCATTTTATAATATGCTGTTTGCATTTTTCTTATTTATAGAAATCTTTTATTCAGGATAGTGATGCTGAATGGATTATCTGTGATGCAGAGATTTCTTGACTTGTGGCTTCTCTTTTCAACTTTGTGACGATGTGGGAACTGAAGTTGATCATTATAACGTAGACAGAGGTATAGATAGCAGATTCTGGTTTTGTCTGCTTTTGAAATTTCTTCTTTTGTCTATTTATATTATTTTGCTTGTTTTTATCCTCACTCGATATTTTTCCATTTATTTTCAGACAGAGTGGGAGGGAGGGGGAGAGAGAGACATTGATGTGAGAGAGACACATCATGCCTCCCTCATGACCCCAACCAGGGGTAGGGACTAAACCACAACTGAGGGGGTTGATGGCAGCATGGGGACCAGGACAGCGAGGCGGAAGCCCAGGTGTAAGGGAAGGTGTCATAAAGGCTTGGAAAGCAGCCTCTTCATCACCAACATGGTGCCAGTTTCCAAGCTGTTTGGGCCACTAAAGCAGTTTCTCATGTGGGCCGGGGGTGGAGGGAAAAGGCAGTCCAGCAAAGATGCCTGTCTCCAAATTTTCTAGAGCAAATGAAGCTTATGTTATAAATCCAGAAACAGGTTTTATGGGAAAAGTTGGGAGGCAGATGTAGAGGGTTCCTTTTCTCAAGAAACATACTGCACAGCACCCTCAGCGCGCCAGACGCCAGGCCTCCCGCCCTGTCCCCACCGCGCTCATCGAAGGGACCGCGGAGTCCACACCTTCCAGGGCCACAGCGTCCAGCTGATGTACGTCCGCGCTGTGTGTGTTAGAGCCGGCTGTGGCTTTGT